AATGACTGTTATCTTCCCCACCCATGGCATCAGGCAGCCTGGGGGACGCTGAGAGGGAACCTTTCTCACTCTCTAGTACCATGGGTCCACATTGCTTTTGCAAGCCTCTCTTTTATAGCTGCTTTGGGCAGTGTCTGGTGTTGTGGGTGCTGTGTGTCTTTTGCAGGACACAGGGCTGGCTCCTGCATCCCTGGTGTTATCTGTGCACCTGGGATCCAGGTGCACTGCCTGGCCACAAACACTGGGGAGGGAACAGCTGGCTTCTGGAGCACCGTACATGCTTAGCTGGCATCAGCTCTTCCAGGAGTGACCTGCCTCTCTCCCTTCTCTCCTACCAGCACATCAACAATGACCACATCCATGGGGAGAAGAAGGAGTTTGTCTGTCGCTGGCAGGACTGCACGCGGGAGCAGAAGCCCTTCAAGGCCCAGTACATGTTGGTGGTGCACATGCGAAGGCACACTGGAGAGAAGCCACATAAGTGCACGGTGAGCTGGCAGGGACACATGGTGCATCTCAGCTTGACGAGTGGGACGCTGGACTTCAGGGCTCACATAAATGTGTGTGCAGACAGAGACATGGGTTCAAGCAGGGCTCTCCCAGGGTACCTGCCAGTACCCAGTTCATGGCCAGTCAAGCTCTCTGTGTCCAGGTTATAGCTACTTGCAGCTTACACCCTGGAGACAGGGCAGGTGGTCAAGGAGGGTGGTTGAAGTGAGAAAAACTGCATTTCCTTGGGGAAAATGGGTTCAGATCTACCACAGAAATCCAGAGTGACTCAAGACAAGTCATTTAAGGTGGGAAACCAGCCAATTTAGTTGCTTATATCCAAGAAGTAAATCTGTGGGGAACCACCTAACCCTGATCCTGTCTAACTCAGCATCGCCCAGTGCTGCTGCTGGAGCTGAAGTTGCCCTCACCCATGTAGTTTCCTTCCAGCCTGGAGAACTGGACCAACACCCCTGCCTCTGCCTTCTTAATCCAGAGATGAGGTCAACCCAGGGGTACTTAAACCCCAAGAGGTCAGTCCGCAGACCTTCTTCATGCAAGTAGCACTGTACCTAGTGTTTAACACTGCCTGAGGAAGAGCACAGGGTGCTGTTTTGTATCTCAACCCTGCAGGTGCAGGCTTGTCTAGCACAGGGGAGAGCTGGGCTCACCTCCTCCTCAACCTTGGTATATTAAAACCTGTATCTGTCCTCACACACGAAGTCTCCCGTGTGTGGAGCTGGAGTGCTGACTAACGTGGCTCAGCCAAGGATGCCTGCTGGAGGACACAAGACAGACGCAAGCTGTGGAGTTTAGTGGCTGTGACCAACTGGTGAGAGAGGAGAGGTGTTCACCATCTCTTTCCACATATACTTCAGCCCTTTTTCTTCCTAAAGGTCCATCTCTGCCTTTTGATATCCTCTGCTCCCTGCCTTCTCCTCTTGCCAGTTTTTCATACCCCCTCCACTGTCAGTATCATGACGTTCCTCTCCCCGGAGTCTTGGGAATGGATCTGCTCAGCAGATGTCTGAGCCCTCCTCCCATGTCTTCCTCCTCTTCTGCTCCATTAGTCACTTCCACCCCTGCTCCCTCCCTGGCTCTGCCTCAGATCCTGCTTACAAATATTAGGATATGTATGATTTGCTTGCTGCGTGACTCCTTTATCAATCTTCCAGTGCTGTGTTCATTTAATTTACAGCATAAGCTCCCTGGGGCATAGGGCCATGTTCTTTGTTTTAATCTTCTAAAGCACTTTACCCGGTTCTAGTGCTTTACCAATCTTTCTTAAAAGTATCAAGTAATATTGATCATCAGTGTGCTAAAAAGTGAGCAGTGAGGGAAAGTCTAGCTCTGCCCTTGCAGGTAGTGAGACTTGGAACACAAAAAGCAGCCGCGACTGCATCCTTTTCAGTGCTGTATTGGAGCAGAAAAAAACCACCACTGCACAGTCCTGCCTCTTTCAAGCCTTGGTTGTGTTGCACGGGAGTGATGGCAAGACAATGTGTGTTTGAGTCTCAGGTCATCCTCTGCCTCCTGGAGAACTGCAGCCACTCCATGTGCGATAGACTCTCCCCAAACTGGAGTACCACTGGTTTCCAATTGCCTGGGATACATGGCAGCTCTGCAGACAGTGTCCTTCTGTGACAGACCATTCCTTGTCCAAGTCTGGCCGTGATTTTTTTCAAAGCACCATTTGTTTCAGACAAGAAGTTTGTGGCACACATAAAGCTACAGATGAGCCCAGTTGCAGCCTGGGATTCGATCAAGGAGTATTTCAACAGATGACAGCCAGAACTCCCACTGACATAATCAAATCCACACAGAAGAGTGGGAACAACTGCTTTGAACATGCACGGGATGCTTTGCTGAGAAGCTTTTTGAAAACGTGGCCTCAGTAGTTTTGTTCTTAATAACTGTATTTTTGTGTCAGCAAAACCAGGATGGACACATGAGTTGCCTTGTGCTGAGTTCACTTTGTTTCCCAGCAAGTGGAATGATATATTTCAACAACCGTAAGCACTTTGAGTTGTAAAGGACTGTTTGCACAGGGCAAGAGAAGAAAGGAATATATTGTACTACCTCAAAGTTGTGGCATGTTCTATGGGCCAAATGGGCTAATGAAAGTTGTCTGAGAAAGAAGAACTGGATCCATCCTACCTCAGAAAAGCTGTTGAAGGAATTAGCTCTTTCAGGATGTGCCCACTGTCCTTGAAGAGATCTGGATATCTCAAGAGAAGAGCAAGTTTGCCTTATATCCACCAGCTTTCTGCGAGATCTTAAAGGGAAGTTTAAGAAACCCTACTTCTTTCCAACACAACCAAGTTACATGGGAGCAGCCTGTGCCTACGTGCTTCATGGGTTTCGTGGGCTACATGTTTGCCTCACTCCTTAGCAACACAGGCGAGCCTTACACCTGTGGAGCACGAGGCGGCTATCATTGCTATTGCATGCAGCTGCCTTTGGCCTCTGCCAAAACAGGACAAATCTCTGGATACGCAGGACCACTCAGTGGCCCATAGGGATATCAAACACTGAGCTGTGGCGTGACCTGTCCTGCCATGACACCATTTCTTCACTGATCGAGACTCAAGCATAGCAATGTGAAATCCCGTCACATCCGGACTTACGCTGTGGACACGGCTAAGTGATCTGACTAAAATACAACACCTTATGGCTTACATACATTGCAACAGAGGGGGCTGCTTGAGGTAATTTAAAATACGTTTTAAGGTGCTTGCGTGGGAAGTGCAGCATGAGCTTTTCCACACTCCCAGTTGAACAGCAAGTGCAGCAATTAGGTAGTATTTTGAGGGGAACCTTGCATTTCTTAAAACTTCCAGTGTTTATAAATACCCACTCATTTCATCAAAGAGCATTTAAGACATCCTCCTTGGTTTGAGGTGAAATCTTTCCATGCTGCAGATAGGGCAGGTGCAGGGAGAAGCCTCTAGCTCGGTCAGAGTGGAGGGTGGCAGGACTTACATCACCCAAAGCTCACCATGTCTCCCAAGCAGCTCCTTCTCGTTGTGTGGGCAACTGGTTTGCTTCCAGGAGGAGGGTTCCTGGCCTGTTTTGTCATCTAAAAATTCATCTGGCTTCAAGATTGAGAGTCTTGTTTTTTAAAGTGGTAATGTCAGACAGTCTGACCACAGCATCCTCCGAGGGTAGACCCAAGCTGTAATTTGGGAAGCTTCAAAGCTAGATTTCTGCTTGTGTGTCAGAGAATGGTCTGGCGTTTCCAGTGCTGGTGCTGGAAAAGGCTGGTCAAACTGTCAAGAAGCTGTCAGTTCTCTGGGTGGGAAGGAGAGGACCTCCATTTTTGAGCATTAGCTGCAGAGGGATGTTAGGAGGGGCAGAGAGGGCCCTCGGAGGAGTGCAGGAGTGTTCAACCTTGCTGAAAAAAAGAGTCTCTTGTTGAAATGTTAGGTGGGTACCCAACGAGGAGCAGCACCTTACATATGACTTACTGCTGAAACTCTCACCCTGCCTAGGCAGGCAAATTCTCCCAACAAAGTGGATGTTGTTCCCTAAAACACAAGCTCTTTAAAGGGAAGAGAAAAGGAAAGAATGAGAAACAGATGAGAACATTTTAGGCATGGGGAAAATCATACTTTTCTGGTTAATTAATCACTTCTCTTGTGTTTTTTTTTATTTTAGTTTGAGGGTTGCTCCAAAGCCTATTCCCGCCTGGAGAACTTAAAGACACACCTGAGGTCCCACACTGGAGAAAAACCCTATGTCTGTGAACATGAAGGCTGCAATAAAGCCTTTTCTAATGCCTCAGACAGAGCCAAGCACCAGAACAGGACACATTCCAATGAGGTAAGCCTGAGCTCACCACAGCTCAACGGAGGCCTTTTTTTTTTTTTTAATTTTGCTGACAATAAACATACAATTTACATGCTGGACTCATGTAAAAATAAACCTACTGTAATGAGAAGTTTTTCTTATTTTTTAATGGGATTTATTTTGCTGCAGAGCCAGACCACATTAGCTTTATATTTACGAAAGCCATGTTTGAAATCATAAACAGATGTTAAAGTATGCAAAATTTTTTATCGACTTTGGAAATTAAAGCAAGCATTTTCCAAATTTATAATTTTTAAAAGCACAACTAGGGTTGCACAGTTGTGTATGTGGTGTTTAACGTTACCATGGATCAGACTTGCAGTAGTGTAAGAGCTAGCCTGAATCCTGACTCTCTGAGATAATACTCCCTCCATCATTTGATGTACAATGATAGAGCACAATGCAATGCTTTGTTAACCTTAGCTAATTAAGACCCACTATTAGTAGTTGGGGAGCAGAGGAAATTACCTTTATTGTAACGCATGTGATGGTCTGTTGCAATCAACCACAGCCGACGACTGAAATTTATATTACCACTAATTAGCTGACAGGGGAAGAAAAAACAACACTCCAAAGTTCTAATAGTGTTTGCAGCCATGAAGAATTCAGTCCGTAGCCTAATTTGCAACAGTTAAATATAGACTATTGGAGAATGGAACACAATTGACACAGATGACAGCTTTTTTAAGCGGTGCTGTGTCTACAAAGGGCTTGTTTGGAGTATTTCTATCTCTGGCGTAATCTGAGTCAGTAATGACCAAAACACTGTAGGTTTCAGATACTCTATTGGAGTCAGAATAAGGACTCAAAGTCTAGGATGCCCATCTGTGCTGTGCGATGTTGAAATCACTTGAGGTCAGATCCCCAGGGCTTTTGTGGGATCATTCTAGGCAGGCCAGAGTTTCCCTTCTGTTGGGACAGCTGGTATCCCATGTTCCTACATGTGAAATTTTGGCTTTGGATGTTTTATTAAATGTGATTTCTTTGATGAGTTCAGTTTCCCAAGTGATGCAGACTGGGAGCTGCACTGGGTCTGTGATGACTCCTCACTTTGTTCAAGCAGAACTTGGACCCACTTGAAGGTCTGCTCCTGTGGGTTCCTGTTGTGCAAGAAGGTGAGACTGTAGGGCAGGAGCATCCAACTCCTTGTCTATGGTGGACCCTGATGCAGTATGCTGACACTTGGCACAGGCTGCATCCAACAACAGAAATTAAAGACTCCGATAACAGACAGGGGTTTTATCCTCTGTGGTTGCTTCCCCTGGGGAATGCTTTCTCAGATGCAAAAGCATCATAGCCACTGGTGAAGAATTTGTGCCAGACCACCTGAGCCTTACCATGGGCACTACATGATCGTGCATTTTGTGGTCATGCTCACTCCTGACCTTCTGTTCAACCTTCCTTGATGGAACACAGACATGCCCTAAGACTTGTGGGAGATCTTTGGGCTGCATGTAATGGCTCTCTGGGCTATGTATTTGACACCCTGTTTTTGAGGAACATATAACATGATCCTTTGCAACAGATGGCATCCCTCATGGCAAAGCTCATTGTATTAGGCTGCGGGCCCAGGTGAGGGTCCTGCAACCAGCTGTGGCCATGACCAGTGGATGAGCAAACTGCGCTGAGATATCGGCTCGCAAAACCACACAGATGCAAAGCAGGAGTTTGTGTCTGTGAATGTTTCCAGTTACCCACTGGTAACTCTATTGTAGTTCCTAACTACCTACTAAATATTTCCCTCTGCTTTGCAGCATTTACTGGAGATACACCACAGTTTGAGTTAGTCACCTATGTCTTCTCCAAGAGGAAGGTTATAGTTCCCTGTATTTGTCTCCATCATTGTGTGAAAGGACATAGGTGTATGGCCTAAACATGCCAAAATTCAAGGCTAGGGATATGTTAACACACCAACTTTTGTTTTATTATTGAAATGTCACATGCGCTATTTCATTTTAAACTTTCAGTGACTATTGGAATCCTTTCAGGGTTTACCTTCAAAGTTATTCCTGGAAGAAGGGCTTTCATCCTGTGAGCGCTCTCCAGCGCGTACAGAAAAGAGTGGCATGAGTTCACAGCCAGCCAAAGGCTGGGAGAGACATTTTCTCCAATTCAAGCTAAACAAGGGTAAAATGCAGAAATTCAGTTCTGCTGAGTGCTTAGGGAGTTCTCCAGTTCTCCTGCCCTGAGGAGTATCGTGCTGCACGCGTATGGGAGTAGGAGGGAGGCATCTGAGATACTGTTGACTTTGCTAGGGTATATACTGCATTAGATATCAGAACCTGGATAACCCAGGGGGTGTATGAAGGCATGCCAACAAAACAGCGGTTGTGCTCCGCAGCGTTGCAGGAGGTATGGCCTGATGAAGAGGATGGTTGTACCCCATTAAGTGGAGTGTCACCTCTCCAAGCAACAGTGATTGTGTTGCTCTAATTACCGGTGTCTGAAAACCACAAAATATTGGGCCTAAAGGTTCTTTATAAAAATATCTTTGAACTGTTTTATGTAGGGGTTTTTATCATGTGTGATAAGGGTTCTTTTCTTTAGAGTATGGTTTAATAGCAGCATTAATATTTCTATAGTGCCTCATCCAAAAGGTTGCATGAGGTTTATAAACAATTTTACTTTCTGTGCTTTGGTTTACCCAGCTTTAAAATCTTTTAAATATTTACATCAGGGGGGTGTTACAAGGATTTAGTTTGCCCAAGTGATGTGCCAAGATCAGACAGGAAGCATGCTTTTGAATAAAACCCAGGCTTTCCATGTTTTTCATGTAACAATGCTGGCTTTCTGCAAAGAATATATACTCCTTCATACTTTTTCACTTAAGCTTCTGAACAAAATTACAAAACAGATGAAAAAAAAGAATAGGAATGGTCATTTGGGGTAGTCTTCAAACAACATCTGTCAGGGTTTTTTCACTGATCTATCCTAGCGTGTTGGCAGAAAAATACTTAGAGTAGCTGTGAGGCTGAAAGCAGAACTTGTGATGAATTCAGAGCTTCCAGCACAGCAGCACCAGCTCAAACAACTGCAGCACTAATACACTTTGGAATTGGAAACTCGATAAAAAAAAAAGTTAAAAGAAGAAAAGTATCTGTTTGCTGACTTCTGTTTTCAGAAGCATGGCTTCAGCCTTGTTTTCCTGTGGCAATCAATGATTCATGAATTCGGGACTAGAGTGCTATCATCTAAAAAAAAACATTGCATGCCTGTGGTTTGTTTTGCACAATAACAGATTTCAAGGTGACAGGTGCTGGAGTGGTGTGATAGATTGGGTAGGGCGAATCCAGTCTGGCTTGGTTTCGCTGGAATTCCATCAGCCAGAAGGTCTCAGACATTTTCTTGGTGTAGACCCTACCTTTGCA